AAAAAAAAAAAAAATTTAAACCCAACGTGATATACTTCTCTAAAATAACTCTTCAAGTGAATAAATGGGTCCATTCGCCCCCCGTGTGTCACAGACGTGAGTTACTGTCTGTAATGACGGTAAGAAATCATTAAAATAAGGGGGTGAAGGCCACAGGATTCTCCAGCAGGGGCGTAAGAGTCAGATTTGAACGTCGACATGTTGGTTTTTACTGACAAGGACCAAACAAGACCAAAGTACAGACGACTTATTCCTGGCCCTGTGCTGTATCTTAATCACAACAAAATTTTCAGCTATAAAGTTCCTCAGCTTCGCATCACACACACACACACACACACACACAGACTTCCTGTGTTTCTCAGAATCTCATAAAAAACACCCAGATGTGAGCGGCTCAACGATGACATTACCAGAGTACAGAGGTGCATTGTTGTTACCTCGGAACTACACCCGTACACAACACCCGCACACAACACCCGTAGACGCCCCGACACGTGCACAACATCCTGTACATAGATCTGTGCACGTGCAGCTTTTTCGGGCACAGGTTATTGGGGCAAATCATCTCTCTCAGCCAGTCGGGGGGAGGGGGGGCAGGGGGGACAGCGTTCCACACGAGAGACGAGAGTCAGCCAGTGAGATCATCGACTTCTGTCTCCAAACGGGCTGTTTGCTTCCTTCACCTCCCTCTTCCCCCATTTAGTTCCTGTTCGAGGAAAAAAAAAAAAAAAAAAACCCTGACATGTGCTGAATCTGTCATCCTCTGATATCTTCAATCTGCTTCCATCCTTCCAGCATTTATCCCATCATTCCCTATTCCAGAGGGCAGATACATCAGTGACACAAAGACTGCAAGGGTTTTTTTTTTTCTTTTTTCCCCATTCACCTTACTCTGCCAAATTCTTTCCCAATGCGTCCCCCCCTTCCTTGACCTATTTGGAAATCTGTTTTCATGGGAAGAGGGGCTCGTTGAAAAATGGATGAGTTTACCCAAAATGTCCTCCGCTCGGTGGGAGACTGGGTCATAGTATGCTGGAAAGGTTTGTTCCACTGTGGGAACAACTCCCAGAATATATATATATATATATATATATGTGTGTCTGCAATAATTATTGTTTTTTGTTACACATTATTGCAGGCCAAGAATGTGTGGGGTCAGTGCAGGGCTACGGCTGAAACCTGAAAATGGATGGAAATATATAGTTATCTAGACGTTTATTAGACGAGTTGATGAAATACAACAAACAAACCTCTTGGTTTGGATATTTCAAACTTGGATAATTCAAACTTATAGTCAAACTTAGATAAAAACAGAGTCTAAAGTTGTGACGAGACACAGTGTTTCTCAAACTTTTTTTTTTCTGGTGACCTATATTTTAAAAGTCACAAACATTCTTGACCCGAGTCAATAGATATTATTCGTAAACTCAAGGGTGCAAGATGACCCAAAAAAAAATTTTTTATGACCCACTTGAGGGTCGTGACCCAGTGTTTGAGAAACAATGTCATAGACTACTGGCCGTGTCTAAGTATCATCCACCAACGATACAGACTACGACAAATTAAAGTAAAAAGACTGAATTTCTGATTTTCATTATGTGTTGGAACTGGTGTAAACTTTTCAAACAAGGCGTCTGCAACCTGTGGCTCCCGGAGCCAAATGTGGCTCAAACATCTTCACTAATACACACCAGACCCTTATTATAAGTAGATGTCAGGGAGGAAGAGGATTTCATTTCATAAACTAGTTTTACGCAGTCTCTACACTACATTTTCTACTTGCTTGCTAACAGCAAAAACAACATCATGACACATTTCTTAACTTCTGGATTCTGGATACTGTAGCAAGTATCCAGAAAGATAATAATCAGTAAGACAATACAGTAGGAAACCAAATCGTTTTAAATACAGATGTGAATAAATATAGAGATATAAGGTTTTGTTTTTTTACAGTCCTGGGGAATTGCACCTCTGACCTGTTTGTTGTCTGTGTGCCGTCAGAGTTTGTCTGATGTGAGGATTTATTCTGTAGCTACCAGTACGTCTGTGTGGTTAATGACAAGGAAAACTGTCAGTGTATATGACAGCATGTCTGAGCACAATGGGAATAAGAGGGAGAAACAGTCTGTAGTGAAAGGCCATCGAAGTCACAAGGTGTCATTAAACTGAATGAAAGCCTGAGGGAAACCGGTTCATTTTCCCCCTCCGCCTCACGCCAGAGGAGTGGAGAGAGAGAGAGACACAAGCAGATGGAGAGAGGAGCAGGAGGAGGAAAAAGGAAATGAATGTTGAACTTGTGATTAAGATACAGACAGAGCAGCGAGGAGGCAACGAGGAACGGGAGAAAGGAAGAAAAATAAGGGCCCAGGGTAGAGGGCAATAAAACGTCCACTGGAGCCACGGGGCACGAAAAAACAGGATGTGAGGAAACGGAGAGTAAATGCACTCCAAAGAATGTGGTCTGCTAACGGGCGGCAAAGCTAGTCCCTCTGTGTACAGTAAAAGGCTAACTGGGCTAACACAGGCTGGGCTGTTGGTAGCCAAATAGACCAATTACTCTGTAATAAACAACAGGTCGTTACTGCCAATACCATTCTACGTCTCCTGCTCTGTTGACCCGTAATTTACAACGACATGCTCTCTCTCTCGCTCTCTCTCTCTCTCGCCCACTCTGTCTCCTCTTTGTGCATCCTCCTGTGTTTGCATTAGGCCCCTCACCCAGTTACCTTCTCCTTTCAGCAAATTCCTGAGTGACTGACTGCAGCTCACAGCTGGCTCGACTTATTACCCTCTGCTTGTCTGCTTGATTAACTTTGTTTTGTGGCCCAGGGCTTTTAAAACCCTGTCTGCCAAAACAACCAGAGGGTTTTCTTTTCTTTTTTTATCCTAAATGTTTTTTTTTTTTCTCAGGTGGGCTTAAATTTGACCAACAAACCTGTTCGTTAGCGCCACAGTTTGTTAGCTTGTTGGAAAGAGAAAGACGGGGTAGAAATCACCAGACTTTTAAAGGAAGTCGCTCCTGTTTTGGCACATGTCTATAACACTTGTCTTCCTCTCTCTCTCTCTCTCTCTCTCGCCCCCTACAGTTCAGTCCTGTAACATCAGGTGTATGAATGGCGGCAGCTGTGCCGAGGACTCCTGCTCCTGTCCAAACGGCTACACCGGCAGCCACTGTGGCCAACGTAAGTACAAACTGCTGCACTACGTTCTTCATATTATCCTTTGTTTTTTTTTTTGTTTTTTTTATGGACGTCAGAGGACTTTCGTAGACCGTCCAACCCTTTAGAAAGGGGGTTTTTTTATGGACGTCAGAGGACCTTCGTAGACCGTCCAACCCTTTAGAAAGCGAGATGTGACGCGAGGAGATGATAGGTTGATGGTACTGGCCAAACTGAAGTCATCGGCGTCGGTCCTCACATATGTTTGCGATACAAATATACAATAGAGCGTGTGTTAATGTGTCAGTGATGCACGGGCTTCAACAGTGAAGTCATTCACAGGGGCCTAATCAAAGACCTGTGTCTGAGTCTGAAACAGAGGAGGAAACAGACCAAGAGTGTGTTCGTTTGGAGCTCTTCTCTGTGTCGTTCACTGACTCTCTCTCTCTCTCTCTCTCTCTCTCTCTCTCTCTCCTGTAGCTGTGTGTGAGAAAGGCTGCCAGAATGGTGGACGCTGCATTGGGCCCAACAGATGTGCCTGCGTCTATGGTTTCACTGGTCCACAGTGTGAGCGAGGTGAGATCCCGTCATTCCTGACGCCGCTGGTTTTCGTAAAAAAAGTAAAAGTCTGTGTTTCAGACATTTGATGATGCGTTTAGGACAGTGTTTCCCCAAATTTTTTTTTTTCTGGGGACCCATATTTTAAAAGTCACAAACCTTCGCAACCCCCCAAAAACCCCACATGTGGGTCGCGACCCAGATTTTGGGAAACAATGGTTTAGGGAACATACAGAATACAAAACTCTCCTCGAAATAATCATTTTTTTGGAGTTTCCTGGTCCAGTTCAACACAGTGACTGTGTTCATGTCCAACAGGGCACAGAACACATACAGTTCTTATGAGGTGAGACAGTCCTGTCAGTCCAGACGGGCTCCACTGTTCCCGTTTCCCCTCTGATGACTTCATACAGTCAGACAGACAGTGGGTGTTCATCTCCTGGGCTTTGAACAGAAGCCTGTGGTATGTGTGTGGTAGGAAGTGATTGCAGGGTGTTGGAAGTAGGTGGTGCAGTTCTAGCTAAGATAAAAAAAAAAAATGGATTTTTTTTTCCAGTCTCTGCTCACCTCAGTTCACCTTCAAAGAAGGAGAGAAGGCTGCCGGGTCTTTACACTTTCTTTGTTGTCCAACCTACCTCACCGTGACCCTTACCTTCGACCTCCTCCTTTCTTCCTACCCCCTGGTGTTACCTGAACTCAGGCGAGAAAAAGGGTCACGGCCTTTTATTCCACCCACCTCATTCATCTCTCCTACATTCCACATCACCACCTCTGTGTTCTACACGTTTACACCCAGACTTCATGAACCGTCTTCTTCTTCTTCTTCTTCTTCTTCGTCTTCTTCTCTGTACTGTAACAACTACTGCTCTCTCTCTCTCTCTCTCTTTCTCTCTCTTACATTTCTAGCATTCCTCCCACTAATTTCAACATGAGGCTCCAGGGTCCGTTCCCTTGGACAAAAACAACATCTGGGAGGTTGAATTTGTCAGATACGGCCCTAAAAACATCTGGCAACAAATAGAGCCCAACTCTCTCCCCATCATCCCCACAGGACTGGCAGAATAGACTCTCTTTGTGGAGTAGTCGTGGACATTTCCTGATGAGAAGTGGA